TGAAGCCATGTCTTGAAAAGCCAAACAAATGACTCTGTATCTTCGTGTGCAATTAAGCCGCAACCAAGAAGTACTGATTGCCCATGATGGTTTACACCTACGAAAGGAGCAAACCGCAATTCATACTTGTTAGTCAAGTATGTAGTGTCAAATGTCACAACATCACCAAAGGATTTGTAACACTGACGACACCTGTTGTCCACCCAAAACACATTTCTAAGCCTTGATTCTTCGTCCACATCCATGCTAAAGAAAAACCCGTCATTCTTTGCTTGCATCTTGTTAAAATATCCCTGTATTGCCTCTGCATCTCCGAAGCCAAGTCTTAATCGTCTAAACTCTTCAATGTAATTTCGACAATCCTTCTCTATAAAGCCAAGTTCTTCATATCCACCCGCTTCCACAACAGCTGCTTGAAAACTCTTGTGCAAGGGAATTCCAGCCTTGTCATTAACCTCAAGCTACTTTTTAACACTAGCAGGCACACTACGATTACAACGATATATTTTAGATTTAGTAGGACTCAAGCCATGGTTATGCAATAACTGCACAACGGAGATCTTCCATATTCCATCACCATCACATGACGCAGTTACTCTTGCTTCACATCCCAATTGCATTGTCGGCCTCGGGTGGAACACATCTTGTGTTTTGCTCTTTTTATTTCCTTGTCGACTACACACAAATGTAACACTTCTAGGAGTTCCATCTTTGGCTTTGCGAGTTGTCCTTGTCCGCATTGGAAATCCTACACTTCGAGCATAAGCCAGATAGTGTTCTCGAATTTCTTCAATGCTTGTAAATTTCATCCCCACTTCAGGCACGCTCCCTTTGTTCCCTTTAGAAGGATATTGACCATTGTTCCGGACATTATTGTTAATGTCATCTGTGTTCTGTGGAATCTCACCACTCGCATGTTCTTGCCCTTCATCGTTAAATAAATACTGAAAGCAAGGATCGTTTAGAAACAAATCTGGTTCAAAAGCTGCAAAAAAAGTACCTTTAATATAATAAAATACCTGACTATGAAGAAAACAATAATACACCAAATGCAGAGTGCATACAGATAATTAGCGTCTGTGACAAGGACAAACCCTAGATTCACAGAACTTTAATCTCTGTAACACGAAAAGAAAACACTTTTTTCGCTACTTCTAATGATTATAGAATGGGGTCTAAATATCAACACTTACAACTGGGCTGCAACTCATATAAACCCAGGTCTTCTTCTTCACCACCAAAATCATGTGGTTGCTCATTCTCAACATGTGTAACAATAGATGTTTGTAAGTCCATAATCACCAAATATCCTATGTACTCTACAAAAATTCAAAAAATTATTGCCATAGAAATTGACTAAAAATGGGATGAAGAAAAGAGATTGAAAGAGGAATTTTCGTGCTACAGTGGTTGGCGCATCAGACATATGAATGGGAAGATAAGAAAAAGAAGAGTTTACCTGCCAAGAAGGAGAGCGCACGAAGCCGAAGAGCAGAGCTGCCGCCAGGAGAAGAGAGCGGGTCGCTGGAGCCGAAGAGCAGAGCCACAGCGACGTAGAGGAAAGGAAAAAAAGAAAAAAAAGGAATGAGAAAAGCAAAAAAAACAACTTAAATAGATAGGAGGCAACCACGGGTGCACTGTAGCACGGTCCTTTTTTTAATAGTTTCAACTTTCAAGATCACTCAAAAGCCGTGGAATCCCGGAGGTTCAACCTTTTTATGTGCAACTCAGCTAGTTAGCTTCAACTTAACTCATAATTTTAGTTGAAAGGAGTTTGAAGCTTTGGAACATTAAATCGGGGATTCAAATTTTCATTTTTTACATTTTAAATATAAGTCTACTAAAATTAAATTAATAAAATTTAATTGTTTAATTATTTAGAAGAATTGAAACGAGAATAGTTCATTAAAAAATTACATTCATTAAAAAAATTACATATTCATTAAAAACAATTACATTCACTAAATAAAAAATTACATTCATTAAATAAAAAAGAAATAAAACACCCTATGCAGCACACTAAGTCACTCAATATTACGTATATAGTACTCTTTAATTTTTTATACGAATTTAGCTATATATAGTGTCAATATCTTCCAAGCATACTCTCTACATTTTATTATATTGAACTTAGGTTATTCGCATAGTCACTCCTCCTCATACGTGCCGCTCCTCCTCATTCGTGCGTCTCATACATGCGAGAACATGATCCTACGCTGTTTACCATACCTCTGCGAGATCCTCATACTCTGCAGTTTGCCAATGTATAATGCCTAAACAAGTTCGTGCATATTAAATTAAATTTCATATGTAATGCCCATGTTTGGCCAGTGTGTTTTAGTGTAATAGATTATTCATGAAATCAGTCATACATAGGGCTGTTCACGTTTAGGTCTGGACCAAAAAACCCGATCGAACTAGACTATTCGGTCCAGACCGAACCCAAACTGAATGGATTTTGGGTCGGTCTTCAATCCAAAAAATCTAGGAGCTCGGGTTTCGGTCCGGTCTGGTCCAAATCCGAAATAATTTAGGTCCGGACTGATTGGACCGAATGGACATAATAACTCTATTGGATCTAAAAGACTTAAATACGTAAACTCTACTTTTTAAGTTCCGTAATATACTTTGATGCTTTACTTGAATAATTATTTTAATTTATTTAATTAAAAATTTTTTGTTAAAAATATTTTTTTTAAAAAAAGTTCAAAAAGAAAGTTTTGCATTAGTTTTTATTATTCTACATAGAAGTAGTCCATATTCTGTATCTATTTTTGGGATGTTTATTTTTATCCTATTTGTACGCTACAAAATAAAAAGTCTAAAAAATTTTTTTGAAAGATAAACCATCAAAACCTAAATTATATTTAATTGATCAAAATAATTTAAAAAAATACATTTTTCAGTCTAATCGGTACAGACCAGTTTGGTCCTATGTATTTCGGTCTGGTCCGGTCCAAACCCGAATATATTTAGGTCCGGTCTTTGATCCTTGATTTTAATCAATTCGGTCTTCCGTCCGGTCGGGTAGATCCAGTTCAGTGTGGTCTTGGGCCAATGAACACCCCTAGTCATACATATTTTTTGAAGTGTGAAATTCATACATGAAAACGTGTAGAATTCATACATAAAAAGAGATATACATTTTTTGGGTAGTTTTGAATTCGTACATGAAAACAGTCATACATTTTTTGACATTGTAGAATTTATACATGAAAACACTGCCATATAAATCAATGGACATTACACTCCAACATGAAATTAAGAAACACAATAATATATTTACACACTGCCGAAAGATATAATAACATATATCCATTCTATACTGCCACACTAAATATCACATATAAAAAATCAAACTGCCACTACAGAGTTACAAGTGAAAAATCACACTACCCAAAATAGTAAAAAAAATTCGCAGTGTTAAATAAATATTTGTTGTTTAATTAAAGGACAAAATCAAAATCACAGGTACAAAACATATAACACTGTTATTTAGAATATTTTAAGGCTCTAAGAGTTCTATTTTGATTTTTCTCTCATAAAAAATTACATATGTTAAATTGAAAGTACTACTCCCTCCGTCCTAAAATATTCTTCCTAATTACTTTTCACACAGTCAAACTTTAATCACTTTCTTTACCTATTTCTATTATGTATTTGATAAAATAATATAGTCTTGTCACTGCTCGTTTTGTAGAACTTTTGATGTAGCTATTTTTTTAAATATATATAAATTTTGTTTTTTAATTTAACACATACAATCAAATAAATTGAATCAAAAATAAAATCGATTAATCTTGTAAACACAAACAGGAAGAACATTATAGGACGGAGGGAGTACAAAATATTAGGTAACAAGAATATTTTGTGTTATCAAATAACCAATTAATAAAAATGTGTAAACAAAAGTTATCAAACCATAGGTCCCAAAAAAATTGTACTCCATTTTGAGATGGAGGAAGTATGTTTTATTCAATCCTTTAACAATATTATAGTGAAGAAATAATCTAGAATAAAAAAATTTGTTTAACCTCGTGTGTGGCACGTGTTAAAATACTAGTATATATATATATATATATATATATATATATATATATATACATATTAAACCATTCACTATCTAAATTTAAATAACCATTAATTTTTAAAAAAAAATGTTATAAAATCTTTCACTTTCTAACACTAAATAACCATTACTTTTTTGACAACGCAAATAACCATTATTGTTATTAAGTTTTTATACAACTCTCCAGTTCCAACTCATTTTAAAAATATTTATTTCATTATTATCATATTTTTGCAAATATGCATAAATATATACAGAGTATGTTATTCTATTAAAAAAAATAATATGTAATTGTTTTAAAAAAAGTAATACATTGTTTCAAGCTCTATTAATATCTTAAAAAGATTTTTTTTAATGATTTTTTAAAAAAATATTCTTCATTTTTTATTTAATTGCTTTTCAAGAATAGTGATTTATAGAAATTTAAATACATGTACATTAATACTAAAACTAAAAATTTATTTAAAAAAGGATGTTTTTTAAACTTAAAAACATTTATATACTACATATTATATTATTGTTAGAAAATTAAAATACAATTATATTTACAAAATGTCAAAAAATTAGAAAAAAAAAGTTTGGAATCGGCTCATTAAAATGCATCTATTCGAACGGCAAGTCGGCAACTCGATCCACGCGCTGAGTATTACAATCGCTTAAACTTCCTCTCTTTAAAACTGCATCTACTCTTCTTCTTCTTCTTCTCAAGTCCTTGTAATCATCTCCTCCATACTTTCGTACACCTTAATTTCATCGACCGGCAACTCGTCACACGCGCCGCCACAATGCAAGCCCTTCACACCACCTCTCTACTCCCTTCCCCGCTCGACGCCCTCCGCAAGCCGCCGCGCTCCGGCTTCTCTTATGGCGTCGCCTCGAGGCCGCTTCCCAGGCGTCTCCGATTTATATCCGCCTCAGCCACCAATTCGGCTCCTATGCGGGAGCAGGACCCCAAAAAGCGGGTTGTCATAACGGGAATGGGGCTCGTGTCCGTCTTCGGAAATGACGCCGATGCCTATTACGAAAAGCTTCTCGCCGGGGAGAGCGGCATCTCTCTCATCGACCGATTCGACGCGTCCAAATTCCCCACCCGATTCGGCGGCCAGATTCGAGGATTTAAGGCGGAAGGGTACATCGACGGTAAGAACGACCGGAGGCTTGATGATTGCCTTAGGTATTGCACTGTTGCTGGGAAGAAAGCTCTTGAAAATGCCGATCTGGGAGCTGATAAAATCGGAAAGGTATTAATTTTAGGGATGTTGATCTAGCCTTGTTAATTTGTTTTCTTGAACACTAATGAATTTGCAATGAGGCTTAAATTTTCAATTGTTTTTTCATATTTGGAAATTGATTTATGTTGTTTTGACAATGCTTGCCTTTAAGAACTCATAATTTGTTTGGATTGAATTTATATGCTCTTTAAAGTTTAATCTTTCTTATTTGATTGGAACTTAGAATCATGATTTGGTGCTTCTCAATCATAAATCTTTTGAAAATTTTCTATTTTACTACATGCCACAACCATTTTCTTTGTATTTGAGGAGCTGAATAATATGTGCTGATTGGCTTTTATTGATCATGCGTTATCATTTTATGAAAGCCGGTGATATTGTTATTTTAAATCTCAAGCTTATGCGTAAACTGTAGATTGATAAGGAGCGATCTGGTGTTCTTGTTGGAACTGGAATGGGTGGTCTTACTGCTTTCTCTGATGGTGTACAAGCCTTAATAGAAAGGGGTCACAGGAAAATATCTCCATTTTTCATTCCTTATGCCATAACCAACATGGGTTCTGCTTTGCTTGCCATCGACATTGGGTTTATGGGGCCAAATTACTCAATCTCAACTGCTTGTGCTACTTCAAATTACTGCTTTTATGCAGCTGCCAATCATATCCGTCGAGGTGAGGCTGATTTGATGTTAGCAGGTGGAACTGAAGCTGCCATAATACCTATTGGGTTAGGAGGCTTTGTGGCCTGCCGAGCTTTGTCTCAAAGAAATGATGATCCACAAACTGCTTCTAGACCATGGGATAAGGACCGTGATGGTTTTGTTATGGGAGAAGGAGCTGGAGTATTGGTATGTATGGAAAAAAATTCCTAATACTTTTTTTGACATGATCTTCCATCCTTTCTGTTTTAATAGGACACATTTGATTTATGTGATCAAAGATGTGGGAGTGTGGGACTTTGATCAATGTTTTTATCTACTGAAAATTAAATTGGTATTGATTTGCCAAGAATAAAAGTTTATTAACCATACCAATTTTCTCTGGCGGTATCATACGCTGACCTTTATTGGGAACCTTATTTTATTTTTTTAAATTGTCAATTGCTATGTAGTACAAGTATTTATATGCTACTGCATAAGTTGGATGCAGTCAGGACACACAATGTTTATTTCTATTCTAAACAAAAACATTGCCTTTAGCCTCAAGAGCCATACTCCCTCTGTTCCATAAGTAATGTCCCAAATTACTACTCCCTCCGTCCCATAAAACCTTTCTCCTTTCTTTTTTTATCTGTCCCACAAAACACTTCTCATTTCTATTAAAAAGTCACTTTTACCCCTTACTTTTTCATACCCTAACTATCACATCATACCTTTTTACTAATAATCTATCCATCAAATCATACTTTTACCCATCACATCAAAGGACATTTTTGGAAATTCAATACCAAAATGCACTCCCCTTAAATCCCTCCTAAAAAGCAAAACTCTCATGTTTCACGGGACGGAGGGAGTATTACGGACTCTCCATAGCTTTTGTTTAGTATGTGTTTTCATTGGTCATTTGATAAAATAAAATAGTCATGTTGATGTAGTTTTTAAATATGTAAATTTCATTTTCTATTTCAATACAAGTTTTTATTTAAAAGTGTTTTTAAAAAGTGTAGGGTTTTGCCTTGTATTATGTTTTATGACAATATGACATTACTTATGGGATGGAGGGAGTATGAAGTATTTATTTTTGGCCGGAATCAAAATGTATTCACATAGAATTCATTGTTTGATGTTTCCCATGCCCATGGTTTGTTTGGATCTTGAAGTAATACATTACATATACAAACTTTTTCATTTTTTTTATGTATGTAAACATACTACGTATTTGATTTGATTGCAACTAGAGGTGAATTGACATGGTTTTGCACATTGGGCAGGTGATGGAGAGCTTGGAGCATGCAATGAAACGAGGTGCCCCAATTATTGCAGAATACCTGGGCGGGGCAGTGACTTGTGATGCTCATCACATGACCGACCCTAGGGCTGACGGTCTTGGTGTTTCTTCATGTATCACTAATGCTCTTGATGACGCTGGTGTATCACCTGAAGAGGTACCCATATGCAGTATCTTTTATTGCTACATAATATCAATATTTGGAAAATGAAGATAAATAAAATTACTAAATGATTACAACTTATGCTATCCTTTTAGGTGAACTACATAAACGCTCATGCAACATCCACTATTGTTGGAGATTTAGCGGAAGTCAATGCCATTAAGAAGGTATTCAAGAACACTTCGGGTGTAAAAATGAACGCTACTAAGGTAAGTTGTTATATTTGCAATACTGTATTGATGCATATCATTTAGAAAAGAAAAGTCCATATAAATGTTATAGAGTGTAGCATGTCGTTTTTCATGCTGTTTTAATACAAAATATACATTTTCCCATTTTATATCATTTTTCTTGCGTGTATTTCTAGTCCATGATAGGACATTGCCTCGGTGCTGCTGGTGGCTTGGAAGCTATTGCAACAGTGAAGGCAATTACAACCGGGTGGCTACATCCTACAATAAATCAATTCGTACGTGTATCCTAAATATCATGCTTTGCTTTTGACTGATATCTATTAGCTCATTTGGCCGGGGAGCGAATTTTGTTTAAATTGCTGAAAGAGCCAAGTTAATATTGCCATTGTGGAAAAACTTATTTTTATAGGAGTATAAATTAAATGAAATAGCATCTAAAAAATGAGGGTAGAAGTTTCATTTCTCTTTATTTCATTTCTCTAAAACATGAGCCAATATCCTAACACTATTTCCCAACAAATGTTGTAGAATCCTGAGCCATCGGTGGAGTTTGACACCGTTCCCAACAAGAAACAGCAGCACGAAATTAATGTCGGTAAGATTCTTAAGCTGACTCGTCCTTTCTTTGTTGGCCTTCTTCCAAGTTCAGTCAGTTTGAGGGGCATTCTTAGGGAAATCGCCCGAAATTACTAGTGAACTCAATGTAACTTTTTAGCCTCAAATCAAGTAATGGACATGAATCTATCTATCATTTGCAGCCATTTCAAATTCGTTTGGTTTTGGTGGACACAACTCTGTTGTAGTCTTCTCTGGGTTCAAGCCTTGATTCAACGGTTTCAAGCATGGCGGACCAAACAGAAGGGTATGGAGGGGAGGCATATTATAGAGGGCATATCTTCTTTTTTTTCCCCCTGCAATTGGGTGCCGGCTCGGTGATTATATATCTATTTTGTTCTTATAAGTGTAGTAATAATTATAATAATTTGGGTTTTAGTAGCTCTTAAGAACGTTTAATGTTTGCTTGTTATACCTTCCGAAATGTTGAATTTGTGCAGAGTGCTAAAATGGTGATGATACGACTATTGCTTGTTTACTTCTACATTTTTCAGTTTTGCAGTTGTTTATTACTTCTATAAAATTTTCATGGGTTTTCGATGAGTTCTGTAATGTTAATGTGTGTATTGTGTAATGAAAGATGTCAGAAAGAGACGCACACAAATACATTTGAGCAATAAATTTAAATCTGACTAGTGCTCATTTTGAATAAATAGAGTGAACGTTCATTTTGAACAAATATTATGTTCATTTTGAAGCAATAGATTGTTCGTTTTACAGCAACTGCATGTTTATTCTGCACCCAATTTCCGCTGCACTTGTGTTTGGATTTGTAGATCCCCGGCTTCTCTTCCTTCCCCATTTCTGCTCTTTCTTCCCCACCTAAGCAACGGGCTATAGCCATCTTTGGATACAATAATATACTTCCTTTGTCGCTCTGTTCTTAAAAGATTGTCACAGTTTGATATTTTTGGTCAACTTATGGCATTCTTTGATCTTGAATTATGGAAAAAATATATTTCTTTATAATGTAAATTTAGTAAAATTAGTTTTTGTAAATATAGTTTTGAAATATCGTATTTTTATAATATTTAATGATTTTAAATTATATTTAACTAAAAAAAGTCAAACTGTGTCAATTTTTTAGAGACCGTGCGAGTAACTTGCGGATAAATTTAAAGTATAGCTAACATTTCCAATATAATGAGTGCTCTCAAAAGCTAAACTTATTCATTCCATTTGAAAGTGCATTTATGGTCAATGCCCTGTTTCTTGACTTTTTTTTCAAAAGGCATTTACGCCATGTTTGAAGTGTTTAAAAGGTGTTGTGTTAGTGGGCGGTGGTCACTTTGACCTCATCTATCTATCACACAGACAATAATGGTTTATGTGCAGATAGAGCATTAGACAATATGGATTGATCTATGTGCATACAAATCATTATTGTCTGTGTATCTGTGTGATACATGAGGTCATTGTGATATCATTATTTTGGTGTCCTCTTGGCTTTTTGGTTTAAAAATATGGTGTTATTCAAGTCAAAAATGCTGAAGGGTACATCAAAAGTATACCCCAAATGTAATCTCCCCTCCCCTCCATTACACATATTTTGACATGTAAAAAATAAATAAATAAAAATGAGTGATAATAGAGGGGGTAGTATACATTTGGGGTACACCTTTGCTCTACCTCTAGCTCCCCCTATCAAATTTGCCCCTATTTTACATAAATAAACCTCATTTATTACAAATATACAAATTTACCCCTTAAAGTATAAAATAGAAAAGAGAACATGGGAACTTAGTCTAAAGATAGACTTGTTCAATTCTTTTATAAATGGAGTGGATTTAGTTAAATGTGAAATGTATTTAGCAACACCCTTAAGAATATTATGCATCCACACTTTAGCCTCTCATGCACGCTTTTTTTCGGTATATATTTATAAATAATGATATAATTTAAATATTAAAGTCACAAAGAAAATATTACAAAATTCACAAATTTATTATGGAATATTGATGAATTGATATTCTCATTAAATACTCCCTCCGTCCTATAATGATCTTCCCGTTTCATTTTACGAAGTTTGACCGATTTTATTTTCAATTCAATTTATTTGATTGTAGGTGTAAAATTAAAAAAATAAAAATTATATATTTAAAAACTACATCAAAAGTTCTACAAAACAAGTGGTGGCAAGACTATATTATTTTATCAAATACCTAATGAAAATAGGTAAAGAAAGTGATTAAAGTTTGACCGTGTAAAAAGTGTGTGGGAAGAACATTATAGGACGGAGGGAGTAATAATTTAATACTATTTTGTTTTTTTAGGAGGTTCAGAAATAATATGTTTGTTATTGATTTATATACGGAGCATGTAAAAAATGTGAAATTAAAATGATTTGGAATAAAATTTGCGTGACAAATAAAATTGGACAAAGTTGCTGAAATTAAGCAACAAACAATTAAATACGAGTATTATATATTCCACACGTCTATGTTTATATTTCTAAAATCCAACTACCATTGTTTTTCAGAGAGCAATTACAGACTTTACAGTAGATTTTCTTTTGTCTCAGTTGGCATTTATCTCACTCAAAACTGACAAAATTTTAGGGGTTAAAATAAAAGTTAAAAAATCGACTCCGCTGGGGATCGAACCCAGAATCTCTGGTTTCGTAGACCAGCGCCTTATCCATTGGGCCACGGAGTCGTTGTTGAAAATGTGAGGCTCAATCTTTATAACAACTAAATACTGAAAAAGAGACTATTCCCAGCGCCTGACCCATTGTTTTGATTGAGCTTTAAATTTGGATGAAGATTCTCCAATGCATCAATAAATTTATTGTTTATGACTTTTTTTCGGATCAAGAGGGGTGGGGGAGGGGGGACCCGAACTAGTTGTCCAATAAATTAGAAGTCGCTTGACACTAAATTCGCTTAGGATAGTTCACGAACCCACTCCCCGGAATTCATTGGTTCGAAGAAGCAATAATTCTTTGTGCGTCACATCTTTGGTCAACATGTGCAAAATAATTTCATCTTTCAAAGTCCTGACATTTATATATCACATATCATTGAAATTCCAGCCCAAAACTCCCTACAACATTACTTATGTCAATTTAAACACAGCTTCAATTACTCCGTACAATCCATTTCATTACATTTTACCAAATAGCACCCGAAGTTTTATGTTGTGCACAAAAACACTGAATCAGATCCTCCAATTCAGTGTAAAGAAAAAAATTGAAGCTCAAACTTTGGGTGCATCACTCTATACATGGTGTGACCATCTCAGATGTGATTGAAAGTGAAATGGAATAAGCTCAGCAAGGCCAACAACACATCAGTGAAAGAAGACCATATCTGCGTGCCGTAAGCCATGGCTTCTAACCTTTTGACCTTCAAGACGGGAACCACCTTAAACTTCACCATATTTGCAACCGTCTTTACTTTTTATTATCATTGTGATTGTGCTGCTTTGGCTTGAGCGATCAATTTCTCGCGCTGCTTCTTGAGATACGCCTGCTTCAGTTTCTCTCTACGCGCAGCAACTTGTTCTTCCCTGCACATTTTCAGTTCAGATGCTTTTTGCCTAGCCTCACTCGCTTCTTCATGCACTTCCCTGAAAACCATCAAAATCATTTTATGATTCTAACATTTGTGTGTGTTATGTGTGTGTGGGTGTGGGTGTGGGGGGGGGGGGATGCAGAAATTGTAGTTTTCATGCAATTAAGGCATTGTGTGTACGTTTGGCAGGGTCATTTTCCTGCTTATCTGCTAGGATTTCTACTAATGCTTTACTTAATTGACTAACTGGCTGGATTGATAAAATTGGTGGTTAATTGAACTAGTGCATATGTTTCCATTTTTTATTTATTTCCTTTAATTTATCAAAAATGCATTATTTTAAAATGCAAATGGAGCTAAAAGAGTCTTCATTAACAATGTTTTAGTTTCGGGCACATAATGAAATAAATACAAATGTTACGTTACACTCCTCTTGCTTCTTACTTTCTATGAAGTTTAGGGTAGTAAATGCAACAATGCATTTGGGGTCTAACAAAAATGTCCTCTCTGTTTTTACAAGGGTAAGACTGGGTACATCTTGACCACCAGACTCTAATGGGATTGAAATTATACAGAAATAAAATAAAATACCAAATCTAATCATTTCAGTCTCAGTTCCAGCAAACTCAGTCACTTTTGAGACAAATTTTACTCTCGCCAAATGAGCACATATGAAAAAGGCCAAAGAGCACTTATAAAAGTACTCTGGGGAATTTTTTTTTTGGGGGGGGTAGCAAAATGTAAAAAAGATAAGATACTTACTTAACAAACCGCTTATGCTCACTTCTGTCTATTGTGCCTGAAACACGCCCAAATCCCAGAGGTTTTATATTATCAGTCGGCATAGAGCCATGATCTTCATCAGGTGTTTCTGAGCATGAAGTATCATGCTGCAGTTGAGACTGTTTTGTCGAGTCTTCTTGCTCTATGCCTTTGCGGAAGAAATCAACACAGTATTTCTCTTTATCTTCTTCATCAGAAAGCTCGCCCCTCACGAGTTTATCATACAGCTCAGCTTTTTTCTCCAAAGCAGCATAGCTATTTGTCCCATCATTGGCAGCTTTCAGCTCAAGCTTGTCCCTTAAAATACACATCAGTTTGAATTTAGTCTTGATAACACAAAAACACGACTATGAGCAATGCTGTATCCAGGAAATTGTGAGAGGTGGACAGGAACAGTACGGGTACTAAGGCAGCACCCCAATTTTTTTCCTTCAAGATTGTAATATGAAATGCTAAAAAAGTCATTGTAATTTCACTACATGAAATAAAATGCAATGAACATTGAATTGAATACTCGCTCAAGAAAAAAGAACCATTCATGTACTCCTTAATTACAACAACAAAAACCAAATTGAATCCCACAAGAGTAGGGTCTGGGGAGGGTGTGTGTACGCAGACCTTATCACCTTACCCCTATTCGAAAGTAGAGAGGTTGTTTCTAAAGAGACCCTCGGCTCAACGTCGAAAGTTGCATTCATTGACTAACTGCTACTTCATTAATTAAAGAGGAAGCGCAGACAATTTAGAGATTCATTTTGTTTTATTCCATCACACTCCAAAGCCAAAAAATAGTGAATTCTTTGGCTCCATGTAATCCGTGATTAAAGTGAAAAAAACTCCCAAACTATATCCTCAAGTCAAGGAACACCTCAATGATCCTTATTTTGGGTTTCAAAAAAATTGAAAATTATTGCCAAAACAGCGTCGTTTTGACATTAAGTAAAAAAATCATAGGGTCAGCTGCCCTCCTTGAATCCGCCAATGACCGGGAGATGAGAGCATGGGTGACACGTATACTAAAAGAAAATTCTTCTTTTTGCCTTAACTTTCATAATTTAAAATCGAAGAGAAGAACAAAGACGTGGTAAAAAAAGGGTAAGTTGGAAGGCTGAGATTGGAAATGAATGAATTCAACTTTTCACTTTTAAGAGCTTTTTTCTAATATGGTTAAAAATAAGATTGGTTCTAGTTTGCTAATGATATTCATACAACAACTCCCCAACAATTTCCATGGATATATTTCATTGATCTATTTCACATTTCGCAGTATGCATACATATTTTGGAGTGGGAAATTACAAAAACCAAACCTAACATCAAAGAAAACACACAATCCGTATGAATGACACTTTACATGCGTTAATGTAAAATCAAACTAAAAAATGATTTTTTTTTCAAATGTTTGAATCAATGATTAGACTCCGGACTGCCCTTCCATTACCTTTTGCAGAAGAAGACCCAAAAGAAAAACAGTTACAATGTATTATAGCCACATTACCAACAACTACGTAGTTTATAACCTAAATTCCAATACCTTTTGCTGTTGTTTAGCTAAGTTAAGCTATATCTCAAAAACTCTAACATCAATTAGCATTAATTAAAGATCTTTGATGATTTTCATTCAAATCTACCAAAACCGATAAACCCTAAGCGCAACAGAGAGTAAAATATTGGGGTAAGGAAATTAGAGAAGAACAATTTACTTGGTAGCTCGAGCATCAACGCCGGAATTCTTGCCGGAGAAGGGGTCGTGGGGGGAAATTTTATCCTTTGCGCGGTGGACTTGAAGGTGTGAATATTTCGGGTCGGTGGCGGAGATTGTTTCCTTGGAGAGGCGTTTGGACTCCTCCTGGGACTTGTAGAGCTGAGCCTTGAGATCGATGATTGACGACGGCCCAACGCCGTGGATGACGCGGTGTTTCCTCGGCATGATGGAGGATTCCGTCAGCCATCCCAACGACTCCACCACCACCCGCTTCTTCCCCTCTCCTCTGCCTTCCGCCATGGCTCTTTCTTTGTGGGTTCTTTGGCTCAATTTCGATCATCTACTCCCTAGTATTTGTCACTTTGGAGTATAAAAAAAGGTTAAATATGTTTCCCCTCTAAAATAGTCAGACTTTTATTTTAAAATTTTTTGTTAAGTAGTCTTTATAAAAAAAATTATTTTAAAAATAGTATTTAAATGTAGTTAGTATTTTTTAATTTATTAACAAAATACATTTATTTCATACTCAACATCTTAATTTTGTATTCCATCAGTTCTTGAAAACAATTCAGCCCTAATTTTTTGCGAATGTCATAAAATAATTTTACATCCACTTAAAATGTCTAAATACATCTCATTATGTAGTTTATTGCGGGTAGAAGTTGTTTTGGAGATATTCTAGACAGTTTAGATAGAATAAAAATATTTTATGGGGTGTACAAAAAATTATGACGGAATTATTTTCAAGAATGGAGAGAGTATTTATAAGTAAAGAATCTCTCTGGATAGGAGTAAAAAAGTATGAAAATACCAAAATAGAAGTCCTAAACCTTTTAAGACCAAAATAACACTATAATGACAGTATAATGTAAGAGTACGCATTGACTGTGTGATGGAAAAGTGGTCACAATGTAATATGTCAGTGTGATCTTTCAGCCATCGGTAATATACGACGGCACTCTGGTGGCCGGCGGCGATAGATGACGTTGTGACGGTGATAGTGGAAGAATTACAATGTGACAATGTGATAGTGTGTCAGTGTAGCAATGACACTGTGAACTTCTATTTTAATTTTAAAAGACTTATGGCTCTTATTTTGATAATTTTATGATTTTTTACTCAACTATCCTTGACACAATTTGCATGTCATAGATTGTTTCTTTCATCAAATTACAACCCCAATTTCCAAAATTTATTATATTATATTCTCAAAAAGTTTGAGAATTAGAAATGTACGGAGTAATATAAATAAGAATATAAGTTAGGATATTAAAATTGTGTTGGAGGCAATAAATTAGAAATGTTAATTATGTGTAAGGACCATTTAAAAATAAACAATTTTGTAAAGATGATTTTTCAAAAAAAAGTTACGAGGACCAAAAATAAAAGTTACGGAGTATTTATTTTTCAAGAACTAAAAACATATTTAACCGAATACAAAATATAAAGAAAATTCCGAGTACATCTTACTCCATTGGTAAATGATTTTACAAAATCTCTTTTCTTTCACAAAATGATTTTATCTATAAATTGGTATAAAATAAAAAAATAAAATCACATATTAAAAAAATAAAATAAAATTTATTACAAATCAAGATGCGGTAAAAATATTTTATTTTATCAAATGATCAATGAAAAACACACGAGTAAACAAATGTTATTGGGAGGCTCAAATAGTAAACGTATAAATTATTGCAGGACGAAGTGAGTATATTGATTAAATAAAAAAACTAGATAAATACAATAAAATTATTATTGAATTAATATCTTGTAAACTTTACTCCATTCGTTTTAAACTATCATTTTTTTGAACAACAAGCAAAATCACATCTCTTTTTGGTTAATTTATTTACAAAATGGTAAAGAAATAAAAATACTAGTTTCAAACTTGAAACTATATTAAAAGATATATACAAAACAAGTGGTGACATGTTTTTTTATTTTATCAAATAATTAAGAAAAAAGTATTCGCAAACAAAAATTATTGGATGCTTCAAATAGTTTACAAGACGATGAATTTGTGACAGAAGAAGTATTTATTTTATAGTCAAAGTTTACCAATTTTGACATCAAAAAGTCAAAATTGAAAAAAATTCTCTAAGATGGATGTAGTATAGTGAAAAAAATAATTTCGAAGACTTTCTAAAATTAAAGACTCTAAATAAATTTTATTGACATGTGTGTGTGTGCGTATATATATATATATATATACACACACACACACACATATACATATACATACATTTATATATATATATATATATATATATATATATATATATATATACACACACACACACATATATATATATATAATTATTTAGAGTGATTGAATTTTGTAAATTCATTTTAATAAAAGCCCATTGAATTTAAAAATTTTTAGTTGTATTTAACGTGGACTTTTTAAATCAATAAAAACATAGGTGTATTCAATTAGAATTTTTAAAAGGTCTTTAAAATTTTATAAAAGTCTAGTAGTAATCAATTGAGACTTTAAAAGTTCATGAGAAGTTGGAGGTATTCAAAATATTATAAAGAGGTCATGGTTTTCAAGAAGTATTCATATTTCTTAGAGTGGATAAATCAGCCAATCAGGTCAGGTTTGTGTTTGGTCACTTTGAGTTCGAGTGTCTTCGAGTTTGGGTCAATTCAGATTCGATTTAGAACTATATGTGTGTATCGAGTTTGGGTCGATCCAACGAGTTATGAGTTTGGTTTTTAAAATTTTTAAATTCATATTAACACATGCATTTTGCATTAAATAAAATTAAAATATCAATAAAGATATATTAAATCTATTATGTTATTTTATTTTAAATTCTGAAGTAATTTTTAGGCATATAAATCAATATAGAGAATTAAAAAAACATTATTTTTTGAAAGGGTAAGATAGTTATGCAATATCATTAAATCTTTATTTGAAAGTATAAATTTATACACTAAAAATGAATAATAAGAAAAAAATAATTATAACCATATTTTTATACGGAGTAATATTATATTTCATAGTAAAGTATACGACATTTTAAAACCCTTACATTAGCGAGTCGGTCAGATTGAGTTTGAATTCAGTTAGTCTTGACCCATTTTAGTGGGCGGGTTCAGTCAACAAAAACCTTTAATCAAAACTCAATGTTTTCAAGTCAGATTTTAGGTCAAAAGCAGGTCATATCATTTTTTTTGTCAAGTCAAATATTTCTAAACATTTTACTCATTTATATACCTGACAAAACTCTTTTTTGTCATACTCCGTGACTTTTTCTTGGATAAAGCTATTTGTACCCCATGTTTTGTACCCCACTTTGTACCCCGCAGCTTTGCACCAACACTTTGTGTTGGTGTAAAACTAATTTTTGTTAATGCACCAACATTTTGTGTCCGTGTAAATTTTTGTTAACTCACCAACACTTGTGTCAGTGTAAACTATCAAAATATTTGTGTATAACTGCGATGTACAAATGGGGTACAATTTGTGGTGTAAGTGTAGCATGACCCTTTTTTCTTTTATTCTTGGATGAGCCAAGAAACAGATGTGTTTCTTCGCTTTCTTTCATCCCTAATTCTTTATTTTTTTTGTGACAACATTCATCCTTAATTCTTTTAAACAAAAAAAAATGCTACTCGTATCATTTTTAGTATTGTTATTAATATTACTAGATCAGGCCGGGCCGGCCAGTGGACTTACCTATAAAAACCAAGCCGGACCCACAATTTTGCGAGCCCCGTAACCCGAAAATTCAAACCCAAGCCCAAGAGGGAGCATACTTTTTTTTTAACTACAATAAAAAGAATATCAAATGTAATATTTTCAATACTTTACCAAAATAATCACACCCTACTACATTGAGAGAAAAATGACAAATCACAAATCACAAATGTGCAATTCATTGTTAAGACCATTGACAAAAAAAAGAAAGGTAATTGCCAATGCAGATCCAACTAACAGCTGCTGTACAAATTTATATTAATATTATTAGAAGGATAAACAAACACAGATTTAGAACCACAAATTTTCACACCGTTCGAGAATTCCCTCTTCACCAGGAATGAGTTACCTTTGTTACTCCAAGGGTGACTGCTATCATTGCAATGATTGCCTACGCAAAACAATATTTAGCAGAAAATATTGAGAAACCAAGGCAAAAGCTAGCAACTAAAAGCATGTTTTTTCAAGTTATTTCCAGTTCAGTTTCGTTAGACACTTTTCTGGAGTGGTGTTTTCACTGTGGAAAATGATCACACAGAGTATGTTAGTAAGATAATGAACAAACTTACAGCTAATGTGCAAGCGACAAGCCCGGGCTTCTCTCTGTAGTCCACTCGAACACACAAAAGTATAAAAGCTCCAATATACCAGGGGATGGCCCCGAGAAAGAAACCAACGATGAACCTTGAAAACAAAATGAAAGGCCACTCTTATTTTTTTAGATACTAATATAATCTTTCCTTGAAGAAACAATACTCATACTCCGTATAATGTGATTTGGAGTAAATGAAGAACTACTCGACATAATGAGGTGTAAGATATTAACCCCTAGTAAATATGGACAGCCAATTATGGCTTGTGTACCTCTTCCAGTTGTCTCAATGATTAGGTGAAAAGTATGTTATAAAGAGAATAAGCACATATGATCCATTAAATACATTTTCCATAACTCATCAAGTTTTCTATTGCAGTTGCAACGTCAATCCTATAATAGGACATCACTTTATCAACCATCTGAACTCATTGCCTTCTAGTGATATTTTTCATAAGTAGAAAAAGCCCACGATGATGATCGTTTTCGAATTTCATCCTATTACTAATTAAATGAGTAATCAGTCATTTCATCCCACTAGAACGCTGAACATCTAAAAATATTGGGCCCTATAAAAATTGTGGGTCATATGTGAGTGCACATGTTGCACCCCAACCCCCCACCCCCTCCCAACTCATTTGTAAAACTTTGCCAAGGTTCAGTTCCGTGATTTATAATGTCAAGTGTTAACAGTTAACTAATGTTATATACTTAATTGTTACTGTAAGTTTCATACCACATAATCCAATATAACATTAAGACAATCATAACGACTAACAGGTATTAAGTATTGGGATTTACGAGTGTGGGTGCCCAATAGTGCTACTTGTTATCACCTCCAATATTTTATCATTGAATGTTACAATGTAAATGGGGAATGGACCCTTAATTATTTAATTTACCATTACTTATATATGTGTGTGTGTGTGTGTATATGTATGTGTGTGTGTGTGTATATGTATATATCTGTGTGTGTGTGTTTTATTTTTCTAAATCCGTATACACATTCACTTTCATAAGAATAAATTACATTATGCAGCTCAATCAAATCAGTTCCGACAACACAACACAACACAACATTGGGACATAAGTGCAGAATTATAATCTACAGCTATCTTC